CGAAGCCATGATGGGGTCAGTGTTGCCCGGGGCTGGCAAACCCACAGACACTGAAAATCCCTGAGACTATTCCCCGATTCACATGAGAGCACCACTCGCACATCTCGCAGATCCCCACAGCAAAGGGCATTTCCCCTGCATAGCGTAAAAGCTGTGTGTTTTACTGAAAGCACGATACAGCCTGATTCTGTAAGAGGAGGGAGGGCTGCGCGTGGGGAGGTTCAGGTTGGAACTTCTGCACAGGCAGAGCGGTGGAGCGCTGCAACCGGCTGCCCAGGGCAGCGGTGGAGCCACCGTCCCCGGCGACGCGCAGAAAACGTGCAGGAGACGGGGCTACCAATTCCATGATTCCTGTGGCCAGGACTTCGAGAACCAGACTCAACACCGTGAATTAAGGCGTTAGAGCACCTACCCATCAACAGCCATGGGACTGCCATTCAAGTAAAACAAAAAATAAATAGCTCTGTATCACAGAGAGATGAACGCAAAGCAATTATGAAAACAATGTTAGTGTATTATCTGTAATTGTCTTGTTGCTTTCACTCTGACCGATATCTGCTTTGTTACCATTAGGAAGAGGTTTAAAAAACCCCAAACTGTTCATCCTAAAGATAAAACATTTCAGCAGTAATGTTTGTAACCCTTGTGCTTAAAGTTAACTCAATGTATTTTAAAATTAGTCTTTTTATTGAATTAGGCAAACAAAATTCAAGAACTGAAACCTGCACACAGCAGGGCCATGAGAAGGCTGGAGATTTATATCAAGAATTACTACTATTGTTATTCCATAAAGAAACCGCAAGTATTGTTAATAAGTGGTAAACTTATTTTTATTATATATCTTTGATGAAGGAAAAGTTTCCAGTGGATCTCCCTACCTCTTCCTGAGCAATTTTCAGAAATGGAATTTACTTCTGAAGACCTGTCCTTGTTTTTCTGCCTTTGTCCTTTTTCAGATTTATCATATTAGAGACCAGAAATGGCAGTCAAAGATTTAGTTTCATAGGCAGTGATCATGAATGACTGGTTCATAAAGCAAGAAACATTTTTTTTTAAACATTAACATCCAACTACAATACATAAAATTGTATACATCCCTACATGATGTTCCCCATGACAGCAATCAAATCCCCATTAGCATGACAAAGAACATGTCACCCTCCATCTTTCACTGAGAAGGAAGGTCTTTTTGCAGAGACCTAACTGAAAGCCAAGTCTACATTTATAAAACTGAAGTCAAAATAAAGGTGAAGAATTTATCTGAGACTGCATTTACACCACCTTCAATCCAAAAGCACTGCACATGAAACAGTAAAAAAAAAATATAAAAAAGATAATTTTACATTCCATTACTGTAGATGGTTAGGAACCTCATGAAGTATCAAGAAGAAACTTTAATATTTTCCAAATGAAACTGAGATACATTTAGAGGCAGACATGATGTGAGATGATTGTCCAAAATGGATCACCAAGGTCTAACGAAGGCCAAAGTAAAGCCAAGTCAGTGAAAGTCTAATAAGTTTACTAGGCAGGATGAAAGCCAGAAGGGCAGGAAAGGTTATTTTTATGAAGTTAGATTTTAAGGCCAAGTATAAAAAGACAGAAAGAAGCTTGGTGCTCATTAGCAGCAATGGAAGCAAGGTGCTCTTCACATACCGATTTCTATTCAGCACTAAGTACTGTCCTAGGGCTTCTTGGCTTTCAGGCACCAAAGAACACACAAACAATACAGAAAATCTCTCTAAAACCTCTCTAAAGTGATGTCATATTTTAAAAAACAGATTCTTAAGAGTAAAGTTATACCACTGAACATGTAGACCTACAAAAGCCTTGGAAAAATTAGATAAACTTCTAAGTATTAGATGATAACAGAATTATAAAACACTGCCACAAGCGATCAAATGATGACACTGACCAAATTCAAAACCAGATAATATAAAATAACACATTTCATTTAATAGAGAAGGTTCAGAGTGTTTGGTGTTCTGAAAGCGCTGTAGGCAGCAGTAACCCACAGGTAAGTATTCATTGGAGAGCCAAGATTTTTTTCCAGCAATGGACAAGATTCCCATAATTGTTTATCAAGCTTGACTAACAGTAAAGCTTGTGCTGAATTTGCAAATAGAGGAGGGGGAGAGCTATAAACCTCCTCTGTGCTATCGCTGTAGTACTGACTGTTAACAGTATGAGCAGTAATTTTATAGCACAGTCATCTCAATACCCAAGCTCTTTGCTAAGAAGTATGCACACAAATGATTCATCCTAACTCTAAAACTTCTTCTTCCAAGGAATTTCATCATATACTTTGCAGTTTATGTAGGGGGACAAAATGTTTTTCAGAAATGAGCTGCTTGGTGGGAAAACAGATTAATATGAGACCTATCTGAAGATGTATCTGTGATCTACTATTTGTCTTGACATGCTCCCCAAAACAGGGAAAATAAATAAACTCCACCAAACACAAGCTTCCTTTTCTAAGAGAAGAACTTGGAAGTCAGAGAGAGCAAATAAGAGTTGGTTAAGATGCTCTTTTGGTAGCTACTGTGTTGTCACATCCTACATGGGCATGATTTTCACTGTATTCCTCAAAAGAAATGCTCTGGTGGGGGCATTTGCAGGCTACTAAGGGAGGATACATCCAGATGATTTTTCTTCTGTTCTTTTGGAATTTATCACAAACTCCTATTTATTAGAGGTCTGGAAAAGCAACACAAGAATAGTTTACTAATGATGATCCGGTATTCAACAACTTCTCCACAAGCTGGGAAAGAAAGGTTTCCCTTTTCAAATGGCTTGTCTGATAGTGGAAAGTCTCTTCAGAGTGAGTGGGTTTAAGAATAATAATCTGAAACTCTCAGAGGGTCAATAATTTAAAGCAGTAATTGAGGTAGGCAGCCTCCTTTCAGTAAAAGCATACAAACTAGCTTTCATAACAAATGACAGATCATTAGACTATTTCTGTTAATAAGGCCAGTTTGCCATAGTTGTAGCCCCTCTGAAACCATATGAAGCTCATGCATGGAGCAGTTACAGTAATTGAAGGAGATCGGATCTGGTGTCAGTAAAATGTTGGTTTCAGGATCAGAAACATAAGTCAGAAAAAAATCCTCCTATATGTACTCTATACCACACGCAGTGCCAGTGATGACAGAAGATACAAAGATTCAGCCTTTGATTTTCTTTAGCACCTTGGGGTCATGTCATCAATGAAGATTAAATACATTATCATAAAGAAGAGAGTGCTCTTCCTGTATCACCCAACTCTCACATTTGAGAATTCTGGTTGATTTATTATTTTTGTGTGGCTCTGTTTTAGCATATATACATATATTTACATGTACACACAAACAACGGACTAGAAAAACAGACAAATACCTGAAAAACTTGAAAATATTTTCTATTAAAAGTTCTTTTATCTTTTATTGGGGATTAATGCTAGCTTCTTCAGTACCTTCGGTACAGAAAACAAAGGTATTTGCAAGACTTTCATCATTACAAGCAGTGCTATTATCTATGCAGATAATATTTTCCAGCCAAAGTGGAAATTCAGAATTCTGAACTCCTTAAAATAAAATCTTGCTAGTGACACATCAGAAAAAAACACAAATTCCATAATGCATAATATTATTTTTCTAATGTATCACTGGCCCATAATGAGAAACAATCTATTATATGGATTTTGCATTCAGTCTTTTTGTCAAAAACTACATAGCACATCAAAAGTTAATAACACTGGGGAGTTCAGTGATTAATACAAAAACAAATGGTATATTACAATTTTTCTTTTGTTCTTCATTCACAATGATGAAACTGCTAGGATTTAACCTTTAAGGGTTAAAGAGTTTAATCAATGTCAATGTCTGATCTTCTGAAGGCGATAAAGAACAGTCTGTCTAGCGATACCCAACAGAACATCACTTTGTCAAGCCACAAAGCACCCAAAAGCTTGTCAAGTAAGTTACCAGAAACCTCTTTGTGGTTAGAACTCAGCTCCTTCCTGCTTGACCTATTATTTGATATTTGACCACTTGGTTGCAAGACACTTGCTCTTTCCAGCTGAAATGTCACTGGGGCATCTTGTCAGCTCCCCGACATCTCGGCCTGACATACAATTTTACTTTTGTGTGCTACAAGGCAGAAAATGCAGGGCAATGGCCTTGCTTTAAATTCTGTCAGCATCAAAGATGGGCGTCACTCTTGGGTCCTACCAACAACAACAAAAAAGGAGTCTATTTGAAGGTCAAAACAGCCATTACTTTAAAGTCTTTCAGCTTAAACTAAACACATTACCTGCAACACTGGTTTGGGAACTGTCCTTATAAAGTACATAAACATATAATCAGAAACTCTCCCTGCACAATTGTTCTTTCTTATGAAATGCAGACTTGATAAAAGGGTGAGTTTTCAACGCCTGCAGGGACCAGATTCAGCAGTTAACTTAAGTTGTTCAAATAGGCAAGTGGTATCATGTAGCTTTACAAGGAGCAACCTGACCTTCTCACATTGACCAGCAGTGACATTATTGTGCAGGAAGAGAAGCAGTCACATCATTTCTGTTTTGCACAACCTGCTTAAAGTTTGCAACTAAATGCTTGTCTTCAGTTGAGCTGACAAGAGAAAAGAGGGGGCTCAGTGAACCATGGCAGGGCTGCCATGAAATGACAGGAATCATTGGCATACATTTCAAATAGCTCTCTCAATCCTATTAAAGTATTGCAGTCCTGCTTTAAAATAGACAAGTATGAAACAACTTTGATAGATAGAGACTAAAATGGCTTATTGATTTTTTTTTTAAGTCTGAGGAAAATTACCCAAAATGTGTCATTCTTTAGCATTTAAAAATATATTACATAAAAAATGAGCAACTGCAATAAATAAAACTTAAGAAAATAACTGTTTCAGTATGCAGGGAATGAAAAGCATAGAAATGTGAACGTATGAACTCACATTTTCATAAAAATGCAAAATTAATGTAAAAAATGCATATGCTGAATTACAACTCAAAGGTAGCAATAAAATTGCACTTTAATTGCATCATTTTACATTAATACAATTTTTTCCTTTGAAAAGATTATTGATAAAAAGAATCTTAAAATCCATTTTCCATTGTTCTTTTGGGACTGGATGTGACATTCAGACTGTAGGAATAGCCTGAAGATTGTGAATTGGCTCTATTGTGTATAAAACTGCAGGATGTGTCAGGTTCAGCTTGCAATGGCAAAAAATCTGGGATACAACTCTGGTCCAGCTGAATTCCTAGCTTGACGCCATGGTGATATTTGAACTGTCTCTTGATTCCTGGAGAAACATAAAATAATATATATATTTTTAAAAAAGAAACAAGCAAGAAAAATAATTTCATTATACCTTATACATGTGTATGTATATAGACACATTTGCAAGCACTTGCTTCTTTTCTCAAATATTTATTTAAAGTGCGTGACACTCAAAATCTGTATTAACCTTTGATAAGCAGCAGAAAAGGATATAAACTTGTGAACTCTGCATTAGTAAGTGCATTATACTACGTTATCTACAATGTTTCAAATATTTACAGAAAACTTCTTACCCTCCTCATCATGACTTTTAGGATGCCTTTTTAACCAAGTGAACAAACTTATTCTACCAATTTCACATCACTGTTGTTAGAAGCATATGCCATGCGCCCACCATGAAGGGTATTATTTAAAAAAAAAATACCTTTACTTAAGTGTTTAGTACTCTTTTCAACATTGTTCTGTTAGAATGTGGTAAGAGAATATGCACTGAGTGTACATGATTTGGGAGCATGATTCGCATTTCCACAAGTCTAGACATTCAGTCAGTTACAAAGGTTAGACCAGTTAAAATCCATCATTAAAGAACGAGCACACTACCAAAACATTCTGCATCCTACCTTTAAAGATTATACAAAACAGCAGTATATCATCAACAATAATTGTCTAAAATGCTAACTAGAGACATTCTGCATTGCCTCAAATATCCACTTAAAAAAAAAAAAGGATATCCTATTGCTCTTTTGTCCTTTATTGGGGTATTTTAATCAATGCATTAGATGGCTGAGTAAATTACAATGAATTCAACGAGTTATTTCTTTATCTCTTCAGGTCATAAACTTGCGAAAATTTCACATGCAAAACATAAAGATGAGAAAGATAAATATTAAGATACTGAAAGACTGTTACTGTATATTTGACTTTTTAAACACTCCTTTGCATTTCAAGAAGAGCATATGTGCATGCATACACAGGCAGATATGAACACACAGACAGACTAAAATACAGACTTGCATACAGCCGAAAAGGAGACTCTGTGTGTGTATATATTCATATGTATTTCATACACATATTTCAACAAATCTAAACATTCAATCAAAGTATAAGCAGATATTCATGTGAGATTCTCCTTTCCTCCATTACTATTGCCAGAGAAAAATCAATGGTTTCCTCTAACACCTACTTCAACAGTTTCCTTTGATGTGGACTTGTCTGTTTTCCTGATACACCATGAGCTATTTTGTACCTACTCGAAGTGGACGGGTTGTGCTAGACTTCCTGAAAACAAGGAGAACCCATTTGGCAGGAGATTTAGATGACTGTTGCAGGGAGATATTTAAAAGGATATAGTGTCCTGAGTTTGCTGAACTCTGGTGGTTACAAGGATGAGATACTAAGAGCAGTGGCAGATACTGACCTGGAACACTACAGCATTTCAGTGCTCAGCTCTGCATGGAATGGTTAACTACCAAAAGCATAGGAAAGCCTTGCTGCATTTATATCTGCTCATTTGAAATGAGATCTCAATAACGATATCCACCTACTATACCCATTAACCGTTTGTTGTTTACATGATTTAATTATCTGACCACATAACCAAAATTCTATCTAAAATAAGTTATTAATATGAAAATATGACAATACTGAAATATACAAGTAATTTGTGTAATTCTAAATGACTTTTCTGTGTGTAAGTAAATGAGATCACTAAGACATAAGCTATAAACTGGTTTCACTTCAACAAATATTGAAGACTAATCTACCCATATTGGCTTGCATTGCTTGCATTGTCTCAATTAAGTGGAGTATCACAATGATTAAGAATCACCTGCTACAGCTGCACTCTTGCACTACACTTTTTCCAGCCATAGTGATTTTTTTTAAGAATATGTCATCAAGAACCTAAGTAAGGAGATAAAAAAAAAACAGATATCCTTTGAGACTTAAAAAAATAAAGTATGAAACTTAATGAGTGGCAGCAAGTCAATAGACTATGTTACAGTAAAAGCTTCGCTATAGAGGGAAAAAGCTCAGTTTTAGTTGCCAGGATTCTATGCTGTACTTCATACCAAGAACAGAATACTATTTATTGTACAGAAGGGAAAAGGATCTTACAGCATGTAAAAATACTCTGGTTGTTATTGATAAGAGCTATTTTGTTCCCATACTATTATGCACATTTGTGATGAATAAGAAAATATTATTCTATCGGTCAACAAGAAAAAAAAAAGAAAAAACAAAGTACTTGAAACTGTTAAAATACACATTGGCTGAACACGGGAATACAGAAATTGAAAAGGCAGTTATAATTTCCACAATAACCCCCTTTCAATATTATTTATTGAGATACATTTCTAAAACAGGCATTAAGCTGACAAATTCAAATGCCTATGCCAGAGCTACGATGATAATACATCATGTAAATATGCATTTAGGTAATTTTTCAAAGAGGAATTATGTATCTTAAATAAGGGCCCTGTTCAGGTAAATCGTGAATGTAGCACTTATTCACTCAATAAGTTGTAAATGATTTTGTCTAAACTGTTACACCTGAAGTGATACACATGAGGAAAATAGATATTTAGGACACAGTACCTCTAGCCAAAATAGGCTCTCAAAATATTTATGAGACACAGTGATTGGTCATGTTTCGTGGTCACTTTTCAACTTTACAAAACATGTCTTCCCAAACTCCAAAATACTAAAGGTTAGTCTAGATAATGAAATAATCGCTCTCTGAACTGGATTTAACTTAAGCCATTTTTTAGTAATAGACCTGGAAAAAGGTTTCTAAAACAATTACACTCTGCTGTTATTCTTTAGAAACCAGTGATCACGTTTAGGAAGCAGCTTACAGATTGTCTCATGAAATAAAGTTGTTTTACCAAAGTTAAAAATGATTTGTAATGTGCTGCTTTACTGTGCACGATATTGTGAGGGAATATTATAATGCAGTCGCATACTATACCCATATGTACGTTTTTACTGAAACGTCAGTCTCTTTAAAAACACTGTGCTGTGATCAAAGGCCTTCACCTTTATATAGCAATACTTACAGAATAAAATGCAGAGTCTGACACGTGGAATTAGAAAACTACATGCGTTTTGATAGTGGTGCAAGAAGGCAAGCACAATACACTAAAAGATGTATACTGTTTATCCTCAATTGCAGCAGTACAAAATCTATAACCAGAGCTGAAACCACAAATCAGACACCATGGTTTCAGCCTCCAAGGTCTATCCAAGGAAAATTTTACTGAATAATAATGTTTGTTATAGTAATGCTCTGCAACTTCCTCATTTTCCTCTATTATGTATATGTTACTACACCTCCTTCCAATTTGGCGATTTCCTACCATTAATTTTGGTCACTTTAAAGTGCTTTCAAGTATTCACTTTCAGAACACCATTACTCACAGTTCCCTCCCACTTTCTTAACACTCGCACTTATAATACGTAATATTATTTTTTAAAAAAAGTAAAAAAAGTAAAAAGTAAAAACTGGTAAGGCTCTTTTTGAGTTAAGATTTCTGAGCTGTGAATGACAAGCTTGCATTTTGATCAGGGTAAGAAAATAAACCACAGAGTCAGAACAGGTGATGACTGCGGAAAGGAATGGAACACAAGGGCAGAAAGAATACTGAAATTACAATAAATATAATGAAGAATCAATTATGAGCAGGTCAAACGAAGCGGCTACTAATGAGCTCAGTGTTGTACACTGATCTATCTGTTGTAGGCTCATCAAATGAGCAGGCCACAGGATATCTGATAGCGTGTGAGGATGCTTGTCAGCAAACAGACAGAGGAGCAGAACTCCAGTGTTTTCTTTTGAATGCCAGTATCCCCTAAAACCAGTATCCCCCTAAGAACCTGTAGCCCAGTCACCCAAGGGTAGGAAAAAGAGACCAATGTGGGAGAGTGAGGGAGAATCCGTATAATTCTCCATAACTGATTTCCACTGTTTCCTTCTCATCTCTTTCCTGGTCAGTCATGCTCTCTTCAGCTTCCCCCAGCAGCCCTCACTGTGGGCTTGTTTTTAATAGCCATTTTGCAGCACTACTGTGGAAAACCTTCTACTTCCCCACAAAAAGAAGCAAAGTTCCAGACTGCTCAGAACCTGCTGCTTAGACTTCCCTTTCCAACTCCGAGTTGCCTTCTCTTTTCAGTGGCAACTACCAGGATGCTGCTTAATCTCTTTTGTTGGAAGTAGGTCAAAAGCCATTTCTCACTCTCTGTCAGATGAAACAGCAGATTGATGAAAATGCTAAGAATTTGTGCTTTGACTGTGGAATGGTGCTGCTCAGTGTCATTTTAAGATGGTTGGCAAATTTCGCCAAAGCAAAAATATATGCGAGTCAGAAAAAGGAGAGTTTGTTTCCCATGTCAATGATTCTGCAGATCTTTATGCTGTGGCAATAGGACTAAACAGGTGCTCAGACACAAGCACCAAGTAGTAATACCGTAATATTTAGGATAAAATTTATTTCTCAGTTCTCCTGCCTGGATTCCACAAACCCTTGCTATCACCAAGTAATTCTGTGCTTTGCCCTCTCACTACACATTAAGCTACAAAGGCAGGTAGACACCACAATTTCTTCTTTGGATGCTGCTAGCCAACACACTAGCCACACACAAACAACACTAACAGCTTTTTCTTTTCTTTTCTTTTTGTTTTTTTTCTTTTTCTCCATTACCAAAGAATTCCCTTTTCCATGTTCAGGAACTGTATTTACAAAAGAATTCTGAAATATCTGTACATTATAATTTCTTCCCTGCTTTTGTAGTGCTTAAGCATTTAAAGTGTTCAGGAGAATCTTTCTCTAGAGACTTCAATTAAAACAAGTAAGAGAAAAAAAAATATAATGCTGTGTTTGTTTTTCCAAAAGAAATTCCTACTTTATTCAAACCTGGGCTGTTTCAAGCTTGGTATGTTTGAAGAACACATAAAATTAGAAGAATTATCACAGATGAACGCCTTATATTCAATATTTTCTTGACTGTATGAATGAGAATTTGATT